ATCACTTGGAACCTTGTTAGAAATGTAGAGCCTCAGGCTCTACCCAAGACCCCTACTGGGGCTGCAGTTTCAAAAGATTTCCAGGTGAATCTCATATATGTTAAATTTTGAGATGTCCCTCTCTAGATCAACAGTTCTCTCCTCTGTTAGAATCACTTGGATACTTTTTAAGCTATTCTGATGCCTGGACTTGACTATGCACCAGTTACATCAGAAACTCTAGTGGAGAGGCACAGGTATCAGAATCGTCATTGCCATACACCAGTCTGAGGAAGAAATCCTCCCTAGAATTTGTGTCAGTAATTTATTAAGTTTTCAGTAAACATGCAACAAATAAATGAGAAGGAATCCAATGGCACTTAAAAATACAGGACTTTAGGGATGCCTGCCTGGTTCAGTGGTTGAGCACCTGCTTTTGGCTCAGGCTGTGATCCCAGGGTCCTGGAATCAAGTCCCATATTGGGCTCCCCGTGGTGAGCCTGCTTCTCCCTCTGCCTGTGCCTCTCATGAATAAATAAAATCTTTTTTAAAAAAATACAGAACGTTACATGAAAAGCTGTAGGTATGTTGCTCTCAAACTGAGAAGAATGAACAGAGCCCCTACATGAGTCAGAATCAGACATTCCTAAGGTGTGAGAAGAAGTTTATCTCTTAACCTGGGAGACCTGGTCTTAGTTTGGCCCAAGTTTATGTGCTGTTAGTGCCCAGGCAGCTGAGAAATACTGCTAGTTGCGGGAACTAAGAACTATTCAGTCAGAAAGAAGGTGACCTACATACAGTTCTTACCCATTTCTGATAAAGCAGGAAAGGGATTTAAAGAGATTATAGACAGATTGCCAACTTCAGGGGTCTTGAAGTAATTCATGTGTCCACAGGAGAAATGAATTTCCACACCAACCATGTGCTAGGACATGAGATTCAAGATGAGTTATGAATTCCTCAGACCCCTAAGACAATTATTAAATACATAACAATTCCAGGCAGAAAGAAGAGCCCTCTTTTTTGGTGGTCTGAAGATCCCAGAGGGAAAGACCATCAAGGGCTGTGCCTTTTTCTTTTCTTTTCCTTTTTTAAAAGATTTTATTTATTTATTCATGAGAGACAGAGAGAGGCAGAGACATAGACAGGGGAGAAGCAGGCTCCCTAAGGGGAAGCGCTGTGAGACTCGATCCCAGGACTCCAGGATCATGACCTGAGCCAAAAGCAGACACAACCACCGAGCCACCCAGATGCCCCAGTGCCTTTTTTCTAAGAGGATCTGGATTTAGGAGCCTCCCCTCTTCTTTCCAGCTATCCCAGTCCAAGCTCAGTGAGCTTCAGAACACTATTCAAGGAATGTTCTGGGCCCTTCTCTTGATGGACTATATTTGGAAAGTGGTGAAGGATCTGTGGTGGTTAAAAATGATACTTTTTAAATTTTTCCCTTTTCTGTTAAAAAACCATTTATTTATGATTTATGCTATAATTATTTACCTTTTGTGTTGTAGTCAAATTTTAAGAAGTGGGAGTGTACATAAGCAAGGAATAGGCTGGTAGAGGTAGGAAGAGGGACATAAAATAAACAACCTGTTTAGGTAAAGGAGGTAAAAGGGATATTTATCCTTTAGGGAATATATTCAATAACACATTTTTTTATTGAATATTTGAGGGTCTAGACACTGTTCTAGGTGCTCAGCACATAGTGGTAAACAAAAGAGCCATTCTTCTGACCTCATGTTACTTATATACTAGGGAACACATAGCTATTAAATACACATACAGATAAATATATTTGTATTATAACAAACATCTATAATTGTGACAAGGCCTATAAAGGAAATTGTTGAAAAGAGAATAAACGGGGTCTGGTCAATTTAGATTTTGGCCAAAAGAATTAGAAAACAAAACAATGAGTCTTACTTAACAAGTGAAAATTCTCAGACAGGCTTAGACTCATCAGAAATGATGGTAAGGGCACCTGGGTGGCTCAGTCAGTTAAGCATCTGCCTTTGGCTCAGGTCATAATCCCAAGGGCCTGGAATCCAACCCCACATTGGGCTCCCTGATCAGTGGAGAGTCTGTTTCTCCCTTTCTCTCTCCCTCTGCCTCTCCCCCTGCTTGTGCTTGCACGCTCTCTCACTCAAATAAATAAATAAAATCTTAAAAAAAATGATGGTAAGCTTGACTATAAGCAGCAGTCAATTAAAGATGAGGACAAAAAGTCCATTTATGGATGAGTCAAGGAAGGATTGAGAAGAAAATGCAAGGTCAAGCTAAGTGGTCCTACCCTAACATGAGCAGAATGTAATGATGATCTTGGTCAAAGACTACAGAAAACTTTGGAACTGAGAAAACTGTCTTGAGTCAGGGTGTAAAAGAACTTATTGGTCAACAGTAAAGCTGACATCTAAGCAAAAGTCACAGAAGCAAATGCAAATAGACAAAGTGGTAAGCCGGCCCAAAGCAGAAAGAAGGTAAGGTCTTTTACCTTCTTCTTCCTATGAACAATGCAATGACTGGCATCCCTGGCCTTGGCCAGTCAAAGGCTGGGAGTCTCAAAGGCTGTTAGAATGCAGCAGGGTTCCCAGGACAACACCTTTCTCCAAGCCCTGAAAGATTCTGCTTGAAAGCAAAACCACAGAGTCATAAAATATTGGAGAGGCAAGGACCATAGAGTGTGTTTATTCCAATTCCTTACCCAATCTCATGATGGACCTCACAGATGCCTTCATTGGTCACCAGATAACCCCACATTGGCTAGGATCCTACAAGAGGTCTCAATGTCTCTGGTCCATAAAGTCTGATCCTCAGCCTTGACTCATTTATCTCTGACTTGTTCTGTTAACTTGAAGCCAGCTCATACGTACGTGCAAAGGCTAGCTCCACACATAGGTTTAGGATAGCATTAGGGCCTTCTGTCATCTGTGGCTGCATACCCTCTGTATCCTTCCAAAGGCTTATTTCCTCTACACAATCCTCTGTTTAGACAAATGAATATATTCATAGTTCATAGACATTCTTGATTCCTTACTCTTGTTCAAAGACCTTTTTTTGTGTCTCTCAGTTCCTATCAATTAAGACCTAGTTTGAATTTCAGCTCCCACAAGAAGTGTTCCTGACATTTCCAGTTACCTACACTTTTTGATCTATGTGTAATATACCATTCTAAGCACCACAAGGTTATCAGAAGCTAGCATAATCAAGCATATTAAATAAAGAATACTCATGGAGAATATTCAGAAAGTCATTTACTTTTGTCTCTCATAGACCTTGTCAATTTGTTTACTTCTCCATTCATTCATTCATTCATTCAGTCAGTCAGTAAATATTTATTGAATGCTTACTGTGTGTTAGGTGATATTCTAGGTCCTGAAGATACAGTAGTAAACAACATAGACAAAAATTCTTGCACTTGTAGAGCTTACAATCTAGTGGACAAGGAAAGCAATAAACAAATGTCTAAGTGCAACATTTAGTAAGGACTAACAGGAAAAATCTAGTAGGGAAACGGAACATAAAGTATCAGCACCTTTAGGCAATGTCGCCTTATAAGTCCTCACTGATAGGATGTCTTTTGATTAAAGACCCAAAAAGGATGAGGATGTTAGCTAATAGACACCTGGTGGAGAGGCATCCCAGGTGGAAGGAATAAGTGCAAAGTTATGTACTTGTTATGAGGTGGCAGAGGCACCCCCTGGAATTGGTAATGTTTCAAGTTGGCCCTTTGTATCAGAACACATTCATAGGGTGTTCTTAAGAATTATCTCTGTTTCTCTCATGTAGGGAACACATATTTTCTAAGTTGCTTATGGTTCTTTCCTTAAGCCCTAGGAATCCTATGGTTAACCCCTGCTTCATGTCACTACAACTTTGCAGGCAATCTGTGACGATCTCATATTGGTAGAACACTAAACTGTGAGTCTTCAGACTTTAGATTTTCCAGGCATTAATTAGACATTATCCCAATAGGTCCTTGAACTCTTTGCATGGACATATTAAGCTGCTGGAGGTCCTATTATAACACTTATTCAGGTAAAAGCCAGATAACCTTCTATACCTTCCTCTTGGTGGAAAGATAAGGATGTTTGGGGTTCTTTTAATCACATTTTTTCTTGGCCTCTTTAATTTCTTTTCTTAACTGTAAGTAGCAATCAGCAAAGGATCACATAAAGTCTTGCTTGGATGGTCTCAAACCTCACTTTATAATATGACATATATTTGGTGGGGAGGAGCTCAGCTGAAACTGAGATTAAGTAGTGCCAGTTAATGTAACAAAATTATGTATGGGTCCTGCAAACAGGGGATGATGACTCGTACCCAGCTACCTACTGCATATATACAGCTCCTTCGATCTTGTGCTGCAATTTCCTCTACCACTCATTTGGTACTTAACACATAGTGCCTTGAGTTATTTATTTTTAATTAATATTTAATTATAAAGTCGCACTTCAATAAATTATCTATATAAGTATTTAAAATATTGCACGTGCCATGGAATCAATGTGCATCCTCTAGCAATACATGAAAATCCATTATTTTTATACAAATTTCTGTTACTTAATCTCTTTATTCATACCTTCTTCATCTCTAGCTGACATTCTAGTCCCTGACTCACCGATCACATCTTTTGTGAATATCCAATAACTCTAGAACATCGTAGGTTCTTCATAATTGCTTGGTGATGAGGATGATGTACTTTCTGAGTACAGAAAAATTATAACTAAGTAGATGTAGGAGTTGAAATCACACATCAATGCAATCATCCCACTGAATCCTCTTATATGTAAAGATGAGTATAAGAAATGTATAAAAAGTTTGTTATTTCTCTATGCCATTTTGAGACTATAGTTGCTTGCTTCTTAGACAATTTCCTGCAATTTGTTGGCACTGGTACTTCAGTCCTGGTCCGTAGTTGTCATAGAAAAGTCAAACCTTGAGACTGATTTGAGGATGAGGTTTTTACTTTTATTTATTTGCTCATACATCTATTCATGAAAACATTTTGTTATTTCTGGTTTAAGATACGACATGAAGAGCCTGGAATATGCCATTCCCATCCTGACACCAAGAAAAAAGCTGGACCACACTGCAAAGCAATGACATCTCTTGTGCTCAACAGAAATATGAGGTTGCAAGAAAACCTCCACTCTGAAACCTGGAAAGACGCACAGCTCCAGGGAGATACAGCTAAGATCTGTTGACTTGTTCCCGAAGTTGCTGGAACCATGAACTGTCAAGAACACTGATGAATTTTGATGAATTGCAGGAGGCTGAGTGTAGATTAGCCTGAGAGTGACAAATTCCTGAGGACTTCAGTCTTAAGGGACTCCACACTTTTGTGAATGTCACCTCCAAGGACTTCACCAGGTTTCCATGGTGAAGATCTGAGAAAGATCCCCTCATGGCTTTGGCATGGGGAGAGGAAGAATAATCATTGAGATATACACCAAGAGATTTCTCCATGATAAAGGCCTATATTTCAGAGGGAAGGACTTTAGCAACATTTTATCCCAGTCAAGGAAAGGGCATTCCTCCCACTCCAGCACCCTATAGACTTCCTGTTTTACCAAAGGGAATGGGAGTGAGGAATAGAGTCAACAGGTGTCAGAGTTTCAAGGAGGTAGATTGAGGATGGCACATCCAGGAGAGGGAGAAAAGATCAGGTGGAAAGAAGTTACACCACTGGAAAGTCACTAGTGAAGGTCATAGCCCCAAGACGCAAACACAAGCACTTAGATTTGGTTGCAAGATTATAGAATGTTTCCCCTTCCCACTCCTTGCCACCATACCAACAGACTCCAATATAATAACAGTGGCCTGCAGCTGAGAAAGCTGTAAGATACAGACTCTCTGAGAAGGAGTACTTAGGGAAGCCCAAAGTCTGGAAGAAAGACCAAAACAAGGACACTAGAGAAATCTGAATTTCTGGCACTTATGGCACTAAACAGTCTAACTCCCAGCCAGATTAAAATAGACCCTCACACTGAAGGCTTATCAACCTCAGTTCTTATTACCTAATACCACATTTTCTGCTTTCAACAGAAAATTACAAGGCATGCCAAAAAGCAAGTGGAAACATAGCCTGAAGAGACAGAGCAGTCCTCAGAACTGGATTTAGATATGACACGGATGTTGAAATTATCAAACAGGGAATTTAAATAGCTGTGATTAATATGTTAAGGGCACTAGTGGAAAAAAAGTAAGCAACATACAAGAAAGGATGGGTAATGTAAGCAAAGAGATGGAATTGCTAAGATAGAATAAAAAAGAAATGTTAGAAATCAGAAATACTATAAAAGAAATAAAGAATGCCTTCAAAGTGTTCATCAGGAGACTCAACACAGCCTAGGGAAGAATCAGTGAGCAGGGGGATAAAGAAATGCAAATAGAAAAGGGAATGGGGGGAGGGGACCCAAATGGACCATCCAGGAACTGTGAGATAAGTTTCAAGGGTATAAAATACCAAGGAGAAGCATGAGGGAATAGAATAGAAAAGAATATGCAGTGATAATGAGAACTTTCCAAAATTAATGATAGACACCAAACCACAGATCCAGGCAGTTCAGAGAGCAAGAATCAGTGTTTTCCAAAAAATCTACACCTAGGCATATCATTCAGATTTCCAAAAATCAAAGGCAGAAAATCTTGAAATAAGTGAGAGGGGGAAAAAGCATTGCACATATAGAGGAAGAAGTATAATAAATACAGTGGACTTCTCATCAGAAACCATGCATGCATGCAAGAAGACAGTGGAATAAAATATTTAAGATGTTAAAATAAACAGACTACCGGCCTAGAACTCTGCATCGTGCAAAGTTGTCCTTCTAACTGAAGGAGAAATAAAGATGTTCTCTGACAAACAAAAACCAAAGGAATTTATCACCGGTAGGTCTGTCCTACAAGAAATGTTAAAAAGAAGTTCCTTAGTGGAAGGAAAGTGATATAGGTCAGAAACAGAAATCTATATAAAGAAAAGAAGAACGTCAGAGAAGGAATAAATGAAGCACCTGTCCCCAGGTGGATAGAACCACATCTGTCTCATCTTGGCATAACAAGTTCACATCTACATCTGTGAATGATGAGTATATTTTGTAAGGAAACAGTCTATTCTTGCAATCTTGCAATTGAATAAAAAAATAATCACATACTGAATTTTGTTTCTTGTAGGCTTCTAAATAGTGAATTGAAAGTTTGGAACTGGTAAAAAAATATATTAAATTTGTACTTTAGGAAAGCTCTATTACCTAGATCTGTGTAGGTATGTTGTGTATGGAACCGCATGTTTATTCTAGTGACATAAGATCTGGGATAAGTAAAAGGTACGTAAAGGAAGAAACAACTTAGAAGAGACAATGCTTTAGTAAACTCTTCAATAAAAAAACACAAAACTTTCTTAAATAATATTGCCATGCATTATAGTTAAAGACTGTATAGAGCAAGCTTTTATAGGTAAAAATTTGGTGTACTTTTAACATGTTTTTTGAGCACCTTCTATGTGCTAGGGGTGATAGAGCTACCAAGATGACTAAACCATGATTAAGATGAGAAACTAATTACATGGCGGTGCCAGTTGAATTTTAGTTGAAGCTAACTCTACTCTTTGCTGAATTGCTAAAGCATATAAAATTAAAGGCTTCTTGATGACAGGGCTAAACCATTTATCTAGATAGTTCTACTCTTGGTGCAATGCCTAACACATAATAGGTGGACAACAAATGTTTGTTAAATAGAAGTTTACAGGGTTGGCATACTACTACCTGCTGGGCAAATCTGGCTTACCAGCCATATTCAGTGTGTGTCCTGTCTTTGGAGCACTCTCAAGTTGAAGATGACTTGTATATTTTTAAGAGACTGTAAAACATACACACACACCGCACTATGTGACAGAGACCATAAGTGGCAGCAAAGCCTACAATATTCGCTATCTTGCCTTTTATAGAAAACATTGCCTGACCTTTGCTTTATGAGGGTGCTCCTTCCAGGTCCTCCTGAAATTTGTCTTGGCTTACGGTTTCTTCTTGGATCATGATATGATCCTTTAGCACTAAGGTTTGTTAAAGCCTTTCTTAGCTTTCAGTTTTTGCTCTGATCCCAGAACAAATGACTGGCACACCCAGCTTCAGCTATAGGCCACTTAATATGACCCACTCAGTTTCCTTGCTTAACTTAACACTTGAATCAGCAAAAAGGCTGTGTCATTCTCTTTGGCTCCCGGACAACTGCTTCACCAAACAGTTGGAGGAAAAAGGTAAGAGCTAGCCACGTATGACACCGATGTCCATGAGGGTCCTCCTCGTGGATTGCCTTGACTACTCTTTCATCTCCCTTTCAGCCATGCATACTCCTGTTCCCTCCCATCAAGTGTTCAGCCTGAATGGTCCCATCAGCAATGACCGTAGCCCACTGGCCATAGATACAAATGACCCCAACAAGAGAGGTGCTTGTAGAGTAGGTCAGAAAGCACATGGCTCCTGCAATACTATAAACTTAAAAACAAAATATACGTTCAAATGAATTTTGGGACAAGTAAAAACACACAAAACACATTCAATTACAGGATGCAACTCTATGTGTGTGTGTTTGAACTAAACTCTATCAGTGATTTTCCAGGGCAGAGAAGATTTCATCTCCATCCCCCACCCCCGGTTTCACCACATGCTCAATAAATATTGATTACGTGAGGAGAAGGGAAGGGCGTCTGCAAGAGCTTTGAGTTCTTGTAAATTGTGACACCATAGAGTGCCAAATCTGATTAATTCTGTGTAAGTACATCTAGGGCTATGCAAGAATCTCCTTGTCAGTCCAAAATACAACCAATTAATAGAGAAAGCCAGTCATTTTGTATCTTCAAACCGGAGATCTGTAACAAAGGCCAGAATATATAAGTGATAAATATTTAGACTTAAACTTTTCGCTACAGCCAATGACTGGGGGGATTCTTTGTGCAGTTGGGTGTATTGCTGCATTTTCATGTGTCCCCAGAGTATTGCCAATTCAGGGGATATATAAGTAACCACTAACTCTTCAGAAATTGCTATTTAGTTCCCTTTTATTGTTTGTTTTCCTCTGAAGCAGAGGTCAAACTTGTTACATGTGCAGTGTACCACCTATATGGGAAAAGACCAAGATCAACAGAGCCTTGGTCTTGATCTCGCCGGCACTTGGTCAAAGCAGCGGGGATGCCAGACCCTCCCTTTCTCACAGGCACTTTGGAACCTGGGTTGGGTTTCTGTGAATAGGAGCACACTACTAGCTCTGTGTTTCACTTGGAGCTCTTGTTTTTAAGGCCACCTATTAACTTTTTTGCTCAGCCTCTCCCCAAATGCTCTCCTACTCCGCTGAACAATGTCTTACTGAAGATAAAAGATGTAGATGTGGTGTGAAAAAGGGAGGAAACTTGGTTCACCCCCCGCCCCCCACAATGGCCTTATTTATGGGTTTCAGATGGTGACAGGGATGTTTATATGAACCTTACCCAAACTGCCTGAACCTCTGGGGTCTGCAAAGATCAGCCTGCAAATTTCATGAGAACAGAACTTTTTTTCAGGAGTTGGGGGTTGGGGGTGGTGGTGACTAAGATTTCCTGTACTTCCTGCTTTAGAGCTGCTGGAAATGAGACAAAAACTGTATTTCAGGATTTCAGTACCTGGCCCCAGCTGGAATCTGCACATACAGATGTGCACAAAGAAGGGGCACATGTGCACGTATGCTTGCACACAGGCAAAACATCTTGTATACTCACACAAATTTTATCTAAAACATGCGCACAGGATTTTTCCATCCCCCCCCCCCCATTGGGGTTGAATTCCAAAACATTTCATAAAGGCCCTTCAAAGTTTCAAAACCAAGGGGAACAACAATCTGATTTTGGGGAAAATGTTTAGTTCCTTATTATTTACCGTAAATCAGCCTGAAGACGCCAGAGGGAAAAGAGGAGCAAAAACAAAGAAAGGAAAACCTAATGGGCAAATGTAACTCATTAAGGCCATGAGTGGTGGCTGCAGGATACTCCCAACACTTTCCAGTCCACCCACCTCCTCTTCCTGGGTGCTGAAACCATTGTGGATTTAGAGCATCCCCACCGCAGTGGGGCAGGCACCCCTCCCGTGGGCCAAGATGAGGACAACAGCATTCCCGCTGGGGGGACACTGCTCCCCTAAATCCAATACATGCAGAAAGTTAGGGGAGAGGCCTGGGAAGAAGGTTGACAAAGAATCGGGGTAGAGGCAGATTGAAAACAGCAAATTAAGTGATGTCAGATTGACCTTCAAGTCATCTGGCTGTCAAAGACAGACTGTCATGATGTGACTTGGATACCACGCAGGTTGTTGCCCACGTAGAGCGGCACCCCGGGACACGTGCGTCCTCCTAAGGACTGGCCTTTGTGCATGCGATGAGCCAGCAGGTCATTAATGTGTGGTGCGAGCAGGAGGGGCCGTGGAACCCAGAGCAGGCGTGCTTGAAAGGGAGAGTCAGAATTTCCAGTAACCCCTTTCAGTTGGCAGAGCTCTGATTGGAACCATGTGACAATTTTAGGCGATGTACCATAGGCGGCCAACTTATTACATATGGCAATATGATTAATGGTATCAAATGCCTTTTTTTGGTAACATCCAAGAACACTCTACCAGCCAACTGCTTGGAGTCCAAGGCAGTGAAAATCTGTTCCATGAATTTAAAGTCAGGCAGACGAGGTTAAATGAGAGAGGGCCAGACGCCAAGGCAATGATTACAAAGTAAGTTGTTTCAAAAAGAGCAGAATGTTTTAAATCTGGTCTTGAACAAATCCCATCCAGGCCCCACCTACCCCAACCTTTTTTTTTTTTTTTTAAATTTCCCTTCCCCCTTTGTTTCTTGATGTGAAAGCCCTAACAGCTACAGTCTGCAAGACATTTCTGAAGCCAGGCTGTCTTCCACGTGCCCAGAACCTCTTCCAGGACTGGGTGAATCTGCACAGACTCCGAGTGGATCTATTTTTGGAATCCTGCAGCGGGCTGGGTGTGGAGGGGAGCTGCAAAGACCAGCAGAATGGGTGCTGGGAGAGATGCCCTCCCCGGGGGGCAGGTCAAAGGGCCCAGGCTCCTCACACTCCCTTTAAGGACTGGGGGCCCTTTCAGCTCCCTCATCGCTGGGAGGAAGAAAGGTTTCCCTGGACTTGGAACATCTTTGTGAAATGACTGGGAGGTGCTGTCACACAAGACAAGATTGGCCAGGGGAGTGAATTGTGAGGAAGGTTGCTTATCTTGGGAATTTGAGGAATGAGGATCAAGAATGGAGAAGACTTTCAAGACACAGAGTCTCCAGATGTGACTTGTTCCCCAAAATGTCTCCCCACAAGGCATAATGGGCACTTACTGCATATTTGTTAAAGAAAGGAGTGTAACATCATCCCCTTCCTTGAGGTTTGCTAGTGGACCTAAGCCCATTTCGTCCAAGTTGTGAGTCATTGCTTTTGCAGAGGATTTTACAAAAAGTCCGACCATTTTGGCTGAGATCCCACCAGGCAGTGGGCACCCTGATAGGTGGGATCGGTTGTAATTTATACAATGTATGTTTATGGGCTATAAATTGGTAGCTTGTAGTTGTTTCTGATAGAGGAAAATGGGTCTCTTAACTCTGAGGTTTGTGGGTTAATTTTTTCCCTTTTTTGGTGAGAACCAAATCTGGCCAGTTATTTAGGGATTAAATCTGTTACTCAGGGCTCAGTTTTCAATCTTTGGATTTGGTATTTTAGACCTAGTCAGAGGGTCCTAGATTCTGTCTCTGGCAAGGCTCCCCTCTGCCACTCCACAAAAAAACAAAACTGAAAAAGAAAGCATCAGTAAATAATGAAAATATGTGGAGGTCAGGTGACTCTGAGCCAGGCAGAAGAGTAAAGAGGAGTTCAAAATGAGGCAAAAACATCTTGAGAGCGAGATTGAGCCTTAACATAGAGCAACTAGGCAGTTGCATTGTGATGCTACCCCTTGGGGACTAAGTGGTAGCCTGAAATCCAGATGATTCTCTTCAGCTTGCTTGCTCTGTTGGACTTTTTCAACCCTTTCCAGCATACTGTGTGAGGGCTGAATGATAGATGGGGGTTGACTATGTTCTGGTAAATTCCTCCATGAACACCACAATCTAATCGTTGAAAATGATTTAAAAACC